AAATAAAACACATGTCCGATACATTTAGCTGGAACTATCAATTGAAGCTAATACTTAGTGATCATTCAAGAAAAGTGGGTCTTCAGAACGCAGTGCTGCTACATGTACCACATGGGGCAGAATAAAAGTTTTTGTTCCACCAACAGACTTTCTGCGTAGAACACTTGTCCTGGTGGAAAGGGGGAAAGAGGAAATTTCCAGAAACTTCTGCACCATCCAGTACTAGTACTCGATCTTTGGAGCAGATCATTTGGGAACACAGAGGAAAGAGGAGGAAAGATAATCTCTCTAGCTCAGTTGCTGGAAAAGTTTTGCTGACTCAAAAGCCTCTCACTGACAGAAGGAGGTCTTTTATTCATGAGAGATTTTTTGCAAGATTTTTTTGCCCTGCTGGACAACCATATGCAAGTTAACAAACATATCTGAAACTAATATTGGCTTTAGGTCTGGACTGGGAGTGGGGCAGGGAGGCAGTAGCTGCAAGAAACTTTTCCAACATACAATCAAAATAATTGATCAAAATAGACAGGATCAATCAAAATGCTTCTCAGATGCATTGACTGCAGAGTTCACAAGAGCAGTGATGTGATTTTTTACTAAAAGAAAATGCCTTGTGTTATACAGAATCTCCGTGCCACACCTGCAAAGTTCTGGTTATCATAGAGAGATTGCGCATCACGACAATTTGTCAGAGCTGCATTGCATTTCAAGCTCTACATCTGAAGGCAACCATGCACTTCCAAAGCAGCTTACAAAGCAGTTCCAGGAACACTGTTCTCGTGAACTGGTTGGCCACGTATCTTGTTGAATAATGCACTGCACTGTGGACTTACATTTCCTAGAAGCACTAAATATGACAGAGGTATAATGACTCAACATTAGTTTTTTATAGATTCCAAGAATTGTATTTTACAGATGGAAATACCTCCTACAAAATCTGATTCTTGGGTGCTTCTGGCTATCTTAAGGGAATAATATGCTCAAAATCTTCTGTCAATTGAGATTTTGCAATAAGACAGTGAAATATCCAGTATGATCTAGAGGATAGAAGGAAGGATGCAGCTGACCTGGGTTCGAATTGCCGCTAGCCATGGAAACTAACTGGGGGAGGGTACGGTAGAGAAATGGGATAAGAGACCACATTAAGAGTTCATTTTGCATTTAAGTTTCTGGGGGATAGTGACAGCTTCTACTGAAAGCAGCAAGCCTCCTTCTCTGTAGCCTTAGTAAATTTCAGTTTAAGTCCAGGATGCTTTCAAGGGTTCCCCTCCCTTGAAGGAGAAAGTGCTGGGATCTTGAAGTGCAACTGGGAAGGCTTAGAAAGGTGTCCCGCAATAGGTGGCAGTGCTGATAACCTTTGTGGCTCTGCCAGCTGACCTCCCCACTTCCTTTTAATTGCTTTCTTCACATTGGACTAGGCTTTGCCACTGAGAGTGAGAGGAGCAGGCCTAGGAGAGCTACTGCACCCTTGACAATTCCCAACAATCACCAGACCTAGGAATGGGAGCTCTGAGAAGGGGAAAGGCAATAGGGTTGTTGTAGGTTTTTTCGGGCTGTTTGGCTGTGTTCTGAGGATTTGGTTCTGATGGCCCAACAGCCCGAAAAACGTACAACAGCCATCGGATCCCAGCCATGAAAGCCTTCCAAGAATACATGGAAAGGCAATATGTTTGTCCAGATACCAAAACAATGCCTTGCATCCTGTTGCTTAAATCTAGGGCTGAAGGAAACTCATGCAAGGGTCCCTTGTGGTCCAGCCGGCTCTCGTTCTCACAGTGGTTGCAAGACTGATCACGTAACTGATTATGCAACAGGAAGCCTGCCAGGGCAGAGAGATGCTTAGGCCATATTTCTTCCAGATGTGTAGGAAACTGGATACTAGCTAAAGAGATACAAGGCTGTTTAGAGTTCAGGGTCCTGGTATCTGAGAGACTTACTTCTTGTGTTCTGAAGGGAGGAAACTTGCATTTATGATACCATGTTCTATGAAGGTCTTTTGCTTGGAGGTCATTGGAGCACTTTCTTCTGTTACAAAATAGTTTCCCCAATGGAAACAGGCAGAATCCCAGTGTTAGATATTTCTGCCATCAATTGTCACCCAAGTATTTTCCACACTATCAATTTCACCAGTTAACCTCTCATTTCTACTGAACTGGATTTGTGGATTTGACCGTGTTTTTGCTTGTTTTCCTCTTTTTAGCTATGTGTTTTATTGTATCACTGGAAACAATTTTGAAAATACTCAATGAAAAATAGTATGAAAACGCTGCAATAAATAAATGAATGAATAGGTTGGGCTGATTAAACCTGTGGGAGAAGCATAGAGTATTTAATCCCCGTTTTCTTTTGTGTCATGTTGTGTTCTCCAGTCATTAAGAGAGCTATGTAAACTAGTGTACTATCCGCAGTTCCGGTATTACCTGCATGTTTTGGATGAGTTCCTAGATTAACTAGAGAAAGTTGATGTTTTTGGCCCAATGTAATGGAATAGGATTATAGGTGTCATACAGTTCTGGAGTGATGAAGCACAGGAGGTGAAGATTTAGAATAAGCTGAACACAGCTGCTGAGAAACCAGGAGGAAGCCAACTCAGATTGTATTTCATAATGGCTAATCTAATAGTGCAGACTTTGATTCCCCCTTTCAGTGACACCTGAGAAGCTTATTCCTGATGAGTTGTCATGGAACAGCAGCAGCAGCCCCTTCATTTCAGGAAAATAGCCGCTCAGGAGGGCAGCCCATCTGCAGGGAACACAGGTCACACCTGGTTTGTATATTGCTTTGAATACTTTGAAGGTAGGAAAAGAGCAAGGAAACAGTACTTGTTTTAAAATAATAATAACTCCCAGAATCCACCAAACAGCATGGCCAGTGGCCAAATAAGTTGGGGGATTCTGGGAACTATGATCCAAAAGGAAGGAAGGAAGGAAGGAGTAGTAGGGGAAAGGAACTTTCCAAGCTCTGAAAAATATGGCTTAAATAGTTTGATTCAACATGACCAGAGCAACTGGCACAACAAAGAAAACATTTTTCAGCTCTCTGGCAGGCTGAGTTCATAAATTTGCAAACATAGCATATTTAACATACACTGTTGTTTTATCATTTTTGCAACAGTCCTGTAATGTAGGGTGGAATTATGGCACCCATTTTGCAGATGAGAGTTAATCAACTGTCAGAAAAACTAACGGTCTCTTAAATCCTGTCCTAAATCCCAAATATTCTGTGTTGAGGAGCCTGTTCTAACATCAATAATGATTGGGAACTATGAATTTATTTAGTTTCACACAAAAAAAACATTCATGAACATAGAATAGAGTGTTCTCAAAAGGCTAGTTCTGCTGCATATGTTAGCCACATACAGGAGGCTGAGAAAAAAGTAGTTGTCAATATGTAGGGTAGCATAGCCCTACCTTTTCCTGAAAATCCTTCCATGTAAACAATGAGAGTCTGATGACATACTGTAAGGTTCTGATACATGTAGGGGGTCTCCATACAATTAGGAAATCTAAAAAACCCCACAAAGCCTATGTTCCCTGTCATATGGAAAGGCTAATGTGTAGGTCATTCTCTACATCAGTGGTCCCCAACCTTGGGCCTCCAGATGTTCTTGGACTTCAACTCCCAGAAATCCTGGCCAGCAGAGGTGGTGGTGAAGGTTTCTGGGAGTTGTAGTCCAAGAACATCTGCAGGCCCAAGGTTGCAGACCACTGCTCTACATGAAGACAGCAGAAGTGAGAAGACTATCTCTTTGTCCGGTTAAGAGCAACTCAGTTCTGGACACCTGACGTTTCTGGATATGAGACTGTGCTATTTACACAAGTGAACCCTCACTTGTAAGTAGTTCAGCTCAAACACTTGTTTGGAACTTCAGAGAGAAGGAGGCCAACAGAAGAATCTGTGAGGATCAGGACTATGCACAAAACATCCAAGCCCAGCTTTCCCATTGGTTTCAAAAGGAGAAGCCAAATTGGTACGCATGATCTTTGCATAAATAGATAGATTTCAATCAGCTGGGGGGGGGAGGAAGGGGAGCACCCACCCACTCACAAATCAACCATCCACACAATGTGGATCTTTATACACATGACTTTAGAGTTATCTTAGATACGTATGTTAACTGGAACTAATTCTGACTCCTCTCTAAGAATACTGGGTTTAATCCACTCTTATGTGAATGAACTTACACTAACCATGACAGAAGCTTCCCTCTCTTCCTTTATTCAGTTGTGTAAATGCACACATGCATCCCAGCCCTCTGGACCAGACATGATGGTACACAAGGTACAGCAGAGGAATAATGCAACCTAATCTGCTAACAATATCAATTCTACTGGTAAAAGGACAGAGTCTGTTTCCATATTATAACCTCTGGTAGCAAAATTTTGGGCATATAATTTAAATTTTTATTTTTCTATTTTAATCCGTATGTTGTTTGTTTGTTTCAAAAAGCACAATTGACCTAAGTTGCTGTTTAATCACTGGAGGCTGGTGATTCTAATTACATAGGAATGATGAATCCCCTCATAATTAATCCTAGTCCAGATTTGATGGGATCCAATGTGCTGAGCCTTATGACCTAAACTCTTTTGAAACCCGGACTAAAACCCTCATCGCCCAGTGAAATCAGAGCCAGCAATGACCTTACAATGTTATTTCTGGCAAAAAAAAAAAAAAAAGGGAACCACAGCACTTTTTTAAAGTACCCATAGTACTTTTTAAAGTACCCACAGTACTTCAACAATAGTCATCAGCAACAGGAAAACAAAGGTCTGCTGTGCCTGCCCCATCTTTTCTATGTATAGAAATGGGGCTCACAAAATGAGGGGCAGTGCATGTTTAATACTACATGCAAACATAAAGCAACAGCAGCGTGATCATCATGATCATTATTATTATTGAAGAAGAAACAAGTTGATGGAGAAAGAATGGATTATTTTGTATCTGCCAAAACAGTTTTATTTGCTAACATTAAGAAGGCTGCAATTTGGTACAAAACTATCCTAATTCCAGAGCTCTACTACGTTGGCTTTACAAAAGATTTCTCGGCATTAGAATGGCATCAAGTAGGAGACTTGGTAAGGCATGTTTTAATTAAAAACTTTATTATAATTATAATTATTATTATTTCATTACAATTCACAGTTTATACATGGCAAGAGAACCTTCCTTACCATGTCAACATTCAGAACACTGTGCTGGGAGAAATGGTAGGGATGGGGCCTTTTTCTTTGAAGAGCCTGGCCTGGTAATATCTCGTGGAACTCTGCGGATCTGAGATGAACACTCTCATTAACTCATCACTGCTTGCTATTTACACGGATATGTTAGATTGGTTAGGAAAAGATGATGAAGCATCCATAAATTTAACATTCATTGTTCATAATGTTATTTAATAGTCAAAGGATATGGATTCGTTCTTTGAGTTGTGTCCAATTGAAGTCCTATTTTGCTTTAATTACTCAGAGCCAAAGTGTGTATGGGCCTCAAACAGCTTTGCAGGAGCACAAGCCCCTATTGTTTCAGTAGAGTCTGCACCATGGTTATGCTTTGAGGATCAGGCTGCCTATTCATCTCTTAAAGGGTATTAGGTTTACTTTTATATACAGCCAGGTTCCAATAGAATGAAATAATAAAAACTTTAAAAGACAATCCATTCCGTTATTTATAATCCTGCATTCCTTCTGAATCTTGCACACATTTAGAAACAAAAGACACAACAGCATATAAAATTATATTTATATTTTTTTTTCTCCTGAAAACAAACAAAGGAATCCCAAGGATTGGCTTCAGATCTGCATATCAGCCTATTTTATCCAAATATTCAATCATCTTCAGATTGTGCTATTGGTCAACTGGTTTTCACGTCTGCATTTGTGTTCAGATACCATCTATATTCTCGATGTAGAAAGTCACAGTGATGCCAGTTTCAACTGCATTCCCACTTTTATTCCCAGCTCCAAAGAGGGCAAAAACATGGTAGGATGTAACATTCAGGAAAGCAGTCCAGCAGGCAGGACCCCTGTGCTAAAACAGCGTACGGCATGACGTGGCTAAAACAAAGGAAACTTTGAATCCTCTCTGACAGCAGTGTCGTGTTTACTAGAAATTGCTCTGCTGCTGAGTCAGGATTTCTCTGCATTCCTGGTATGCAAAAGGAATATTTTGAATGCACCAAGTTAATATCACCTAGCAGATAATTTAGTAACACAAAACAAAAGATTTTTGGTATGTGATGCATGGGGCTGAACTGGTGACTAGAGTTAAGTAATGTGACCTGATTATGGATTCATAAATTCTACAGGTCTATAGCGTGTACATGTACCATCTGAACCTGAGTATTAAAAAAAAAAGACTTGCTGGGTACACCTTTGCAACCCTTCTAATTGCAGTGCCTTTAAAGCTAGACGTAGGAGCAGTGCTTTGATGTCCATGATTTTGGCATCTGTTTCTTAATGCTGGTATCTTCAGCTTTAGACACCCTTAAAAACAACATGGCTGTCTGGGGCAAGATGACATATCAAAATGGATGCATTACTCATGCAAGAACCAACAAACGAACAAACAAAAACCCATATCAGAGTTATAGAGGTTCTGTTTCTTTAAAAGATAAGGCACTGACAAAAATTTCTTAGGTAAAAGGCTGCATAAGATTTTCTTGCCATTTACATATAGATTGTAGTCCATACACGGTCCGTTCCTAGGCTTGGTAAGGTAGACCCTGAAAAGTTTAAGGACTGATCCCTCAAAGCTACATTGTTAACCTAAACCAGCATTATTCATTCTTAACGCCTTATGGCACATTAGGAAAGATGAAAAACAGTCTGGGCACAGAAAAGGCATCGGACATTGCTTGTTCCAGCATTTGTCAATGACAGAAGTGCCATTCATTTTGCGTCTTTCAAGAAATATGGTGGTGACTCTGAATCCTTATTGTGGGTGGATTTCTTTTGGAATTCATGCATGTGATTTTTAAAAAATGCTATTAGCATCAGTAATGGACAGGAAAAGAAAATATATCAGGAACTACAAGTTAAGTCTAAACCATAAGGTTTCTTCTGATCCAAAGATCAGGATTCAAAGTCAGTGCTACTTAATGTTTTCAATGACAGCAATTTCTTCAGCTGCACAGTGAGGAGTCAAGCCATTCATATAAATGCTGTCTGTCTTTGTGATGGCCGGCAAGAGGTCTTTCTCACTGGTGAGGTGGTTGACAGACAAGGTTCTCTTGCAAGGAGTCAGGTCTTGGCTGTGGTTCATTGCCATTTCTGCAGAGAGTTTCCTTTTGATGGAGGTAGCCCGTTGGAACTTGTCGTAAATCTCCACGCTCAGGCGCCGACGGGTTTCTTTGAACTCTGCAGTGACATTAGCTGTCCATTCAGCTGCATGAGCCCTGAACTCCCCCACCTAAGAAACAGAATAATACAGGGAAAAGGGAAGAGGGGAGAGGAAGGGGGAGGGAGAGAGGAAGAGAGGAAGATCATGTTGTAAAATTCTTTGTGGGAAGACAGAGACTGAACATGTGTATGTTAAGGATCGAAAGGAAGCAAGGGTTCAACAAGAAGAACTGCTTGATAGCCCAGTGGTTTAGGCATCTGGCTGTAAAACCAGAGGTCGGGAGTTTGATTCCCCACTGTGCCTCCTTGACAGGGGCAGAACTTGATGATCCATAGGGTCCCTTCCAGAAATGCAGTTCTAAAACTATTATTATTATAATGCCTAAGAATGACAGAGCAGGTGTCCCCTTGGCACAGAATTTTTGTGCCCCAGAATATTCCTACGATCAGTATTTGGTCTCTGATTATTACTATTTTATTTCCAGTGGAAGAATTTAGCTGTCATCTTGTTAGTGCAGTATAAAAGGGACAAACAAAAGCAACTGCTAAAAAAATCTCTAGAGCTAAAACATTTCACAGTTCTTTTTATAATTTTATCTAGGCCAGTGAGGTGAAATTGCCTTTAAAAATTAAGCCTTGACAGCTGAGAGGTTCCCAGCTGGAGAGGGAGTCCTGAATTCCCAGCAATCCGGACTGTGTGTTATGTGTTGTTACCAGGGGAGATGTCGTGGTTATTTATGGACACCCTGGCCGTATGTGTAACGATCCCTCTGAGACTCGACACAGGCGTTTCTAAATTTAGACGGAAAGGGCTTTTAAAAGAAAAATGTCAGCTGTCACTGTCCTATTTTTAGTGCCTGTTCGAAGGGAGGATTAAGGCAAGTGACAGTTTTAGTCAAGTCAGCAAAGTTATTGCCAGTTTCTCTTTCTGTAACACTAATAAGGTTACTCTGTGAAACTTGCAAAGGTACTAGGATAAAAGGGTCTCTCGCCTTGACATTTCCAAAACCAATATGCATATTCCATTGTACAGCTACAGTAAGTGCAAAAGGTCTTTTAAAAAATCCTCCCATAAAAACCAAATAATGTTCTTTTTTGGTACAATTTGTGGTCTGATTTATATGACTCCTATATGTGTGTGGCCGGTTCATTGAGTGAAAGCCTATTTTATTTACCACTTGGAATATTCATCTCCATTTTTTCCGTTGCAATCCATGAATCAGCTGTCATATACACTTAGAAACAAGAACTTAAGCCATCAAATCAAAGTCATCAGTGGATTAATATTAATTACAACAGGAGAGCAGTTAAGAACTAATTCTCAGTGACTATAATTCTTGGTAGATGCATGTGAAAAGGTTTTCTGCTTTCCACAATGCTTTTTGTTTTGAAATTTTTACTATTGCAGTTTTATTCATTTATATATTTGCTTACATAATTACAGGCATGCTATGCCTTATCTCTAAATAACTCAAATACGCATGAATCGTTTGTTTTATTCCCATCCTTCCTTGTTTACTTTGGAACAACTCCTTTAGAAAAGGAGGTTAGGTGACAGGCCACCCAATGAATGTTATACCTGAATGGGAATTTCAACCTGGATATTGTCTTATTGGTTCAACCATACTGCCAGCCTATTCATTGATCAATGTTATTTTAAACTGCATCCAATCTTATTAAGGGCCTAAAAATTGGGCATAAAGAAAATAATTTTAGGCAATTTAATCAATTAGTTAATGAAGAGTCTAGTTTTCTGCCAAGATTAGTACCAACACAGTTCAAAACATGATTAGAAACAGAAACAATTAGAAACACAACGGCTAGCGTTTTGCACATTTGCACAGCAGACGCCTCACCAAATAGCACAATTGTTTGTGTGACATTGGTACTTCACATAGAAATCACCAACAAGATACTAAGCAAAATATTACAATACTAGACACAAATGAACAGATTACCAATAAAAGCAACAGTTGAATTAAAGCAAATTTCAAAGTACGTCAGAGTCAAGTACAGAATCCATAATTAAAAATGTCTTCTAGAGAAGCCAATAAATATCCAAACACCAGCCTAAATTAATATTTTTAAAAATTTACATGCCAGTGGAGAGGAATCGTGCCCTCCTAGCGTACCTTTATTTAATTTATTAATTTAAAATATTTTTACCCCACCTTTCTCCTTAAAAGGATTCAAGGCAGCTACCTGGAAAAGGAGGTGAACTGGATAGAGAAAACACTGAGAAAGATCTCTGTTCCACCATCATCATACTATATGCTTGTGAGGCTGATGGGACCAAGATGCAACCCTGAAACATCAAAAGGTTCTTCCTAATCTTTAGGTGAAATTTCCCTTCATGTAATTTGAACCCACTACTCTCAGTCCCACCTTCTGCCTTTTATTCTATGTACCAAGCCTTCAAATGTTTGAAGATGACTATATTACCTCTCTATCTTTAAATACATGCAGCTCCCTCCAACTGTTCCTTACAGGGCTTGTTTTCCAGACTCTTTACCATCTTGGTAACTCTGCTTTGGACATGTTCTGGATTTCTTTCATAAATTGTGATACCCAGAACTTACAGCAATTTGATTTTAACATGTTTTAATTTTTATTGTATTGAATTGACGTAATAAATGCAATTTTATTCTCTTGTTTTTGTAATTTACTCTAATATGGTTTTCTGATGTTTAAAATTATTTTGAAAGTCACTCTTAATCCCAGTTCTGGGAGAAATGAGGAATAAATAAAATAAAATAAACATCCCAATGGGAAGCTTGTTCAGTATCTCTCTTAACTAACCAGAGAGAAGATGGGCTATGGAAGCCATGGAGGAGGAAAAAGGGAGGAATGTTGCACCATTGGTGATGGAGGCAGTAATACAGTGAAAATAACACTTACGGGCAGATTTTCCTATATTTACCTAGAAAAAAAAACATATCAGAGGTGTGATGAATATTCACACAAATTTTGCTCTATACCCTTGGCCAAGTGCAATCATAAGACAACACCCCTTCCCCGCAAAAAAAATATTAAGACTTCCTGGCTTCCTGCATAAATAACCTCCCGCTTTGTCTTTTCTTTCTTTCTCTTTTAAAAATTTCCAAGTTATTTGGCACAGGAACTGGCCAATTCTACACAGCAGAATGCCCTTTCCAGTAAATCCTGTGAAGGAACCGAAGCCATTCTGCACAGGAATTATAACAAGTCTTGTAGAACTTGATATTTCTTTTGCTTTTCCCAAATGAGTCTCGGGCTGGAATATGATTGTTTTTTCCTTCAGGAAAGATGTCACTCTGTGCAGGGACTGTAACTGTAATTATACAGCACAGCTTGACATTATTTGAATTAAAAATGGGCAGGAAACTAGAGAAATCCCAAATTGGTGAGGTTTAATGCAGAGAAATCTCACCACAAGAAGAGTCTTTTCTGTTACTTTGTTTTCCTCAGACAATGAAAGACTGCAAGAGTCACATTACCCCCAGGATTTTCACTTTTACCCCATTTGGGGTAATTTACCCTTTTCCCTGACCTATGTCCTAGGCATTCAGGTTCAGGCCCACATCTGTCAAATCAACAGCATTATTAAAAATCTAAGTATGTACAAGTGTTTCCCTTTGCTTGTGTGTGCATGTTTGAAGACCAGCTGTTGGTGGTATTGCTGTTCTGCACAACACTCTGGATCTCATAAAAATTAAACCATGGTGATGTTATATTTTCAAAATCTTCTGCCTTTGAAACCCTTCTGCAATGCTTCCACATTTAAACAAAAATGGCTGAATTAAAACAGCAACCTAGAATTACAATCCATGGGGAGTAAAGAACATTCTGCTTCCTCTGCAATCAGTTACCTAAGTCTAATTGCTGATACCAAACCTACTGAATTAATGGATTTTATGTAAGTATTCACTTACCACTCAACCATTGATTCAGTAGGACCACTCTAATTGGAACTAACAATTGGTTTTAGGTCAGAGAGAACCAACTTTGGATGTAATACAGGCTTTAAAAAAAATTATTAGATGGACTCCTGCTTGACTATTTCTCTGCCAGGATTTCCATCTACAGTTCTTTTCATGAAAAAAATCTGCCCCACTATTGAACCCAAACAATGTTTTATCTCTCCCGGAACACTCAGTCTGGCATTTTGGAACCTAAAGATGTCACTGACTGGAATCTGGAATACTGGGTTTCAAGACAATGTGTGAAGCCTCCTGGATTTTAAAAAACCAATGTTATTATACTTGCTTTGCTATGGTTACCATCTTCCTTCTCAATCATCATGGCACACTTGAGTTCAGGTCAGCAGTTCAAAATACAAACATACTGACCTGACCTCTTATGTTGCTGGAACAAGATGACCATGTAGTAAGTGTATTCATAAAGCCCGGAATAGCAAAAATAAGTCTTCGCAAATTACTGAGTGATAGGGAATAAATCAGCAGTAGAAATCTACCCCATTCATATATTTGGTTGTAATGAATTATCCTATGAAAAAGCCAAAAATACTGTATATTCACTTCCTTATCCTGTTTACATAAAAACTTGCAAAGCAAAGTTACATGGGTGGAAGATTTGGATGGTAGCCTTGTAACTTTTTTCTTTTGACATGATGATCCTTGTGCTGACAATCAATAGCAATAGACTGCGGAATGTGAGATTATCATATCCGAAGCAACATTTAATTTATACTACTTTATTTATATAGAGTAGAAATATTAAAGCAAACAGATGATATCTATATTTTAAGGATAAAAGTTGTCACCAAATTTTGGCTGAGATCACCCATTAGTACATTAACCATAAAGCCTGTAGGGAATAAAAATGGCTAGTTTAATAAGTCATTTGCTTAAGGGTTTCTTAAAACAAATACATGACAGAGTTTACAAGAAGTGTGAAGAAGAAAGCAGGAGACACATAATTCTGATCCAGACAAGGATTTGGAACCAGAGAAACACTACTTGGTGTACATATATGCGAGAGAGATCTGTGACATTAACATATATGCATGCTTCCTTTATCAAAGATGGGAAAGTCTTTGATAAAGTTCAGCATGACAAACTGATGGGGTTG